CGCGTCAAAATCGTGTGGTTAATTTGATACTGTGGGCAAGTTGAGTAATATTGCAGCTGACTGTGTCTGTGAGTTTGGTACTTACTCCATCAGTGCATCGGCGCTATTTTATAAAATCGAGTTTATCGAGTATTAAAAAGCTTTAATATTTCTCACAAATATGGAACTTTCCTTTAAAAAAATCCCTTAACTTATTTCACACACCATTTTATTTAGTGTTGTGATGAAATAATCTTGCTTAGCTGCAAAATTGTTTACACGATTTTTAACTGCTGTCAAATTCAATGTTTCAATATTTGTGGCGTACAGAAGAGTCGAACTTACAAACAGAGTTTCCGTAAGTTCTCATTGAGAAAGTTTGGTTTTAGTGTTTAATACGCATAAACTTTAAACTTGATTTTCCGTGAAATATGAATTTGCTTTTATGTACCTAGATTCTTTCTAAAATGAGGTTAAAACGGTTCTAATTAGCCATTCTTCAAAACAAAAAATTTTAAATTAAAATCAGCTCGAAATTTTCAATGAGAAATCTTATCAGGGTTTCATAAGCGCAAATTTAAAACTCAAGTTTGCAGTGAGTGAATTTACTAATATGAAGCTAGTTTCCGTCAAAAAGCATGATTTATCAATCTTTTGAACATTTTTAGGCAACCAAATTAGATATATCTTTTATTCACTACAATATTGTTAAAAATTTTGCCAATATATTTTGACTGCATTGTTATTTATAAACCCAAAACAGCTTTAAGACTGTAGGCGACATTTTATAGGCTAGAATTCCTTGAATTCATTTTGCTATATAATAAAATAAAGGCTTTCAAATCTAACCTCAAATACATTAATTGGTAATGTGCAAAAAATTTACATAATTGTTAAACACGAACCTTAAAACCATATACCATATGTATCTATACTTTACGGAAGCAGTTCAAAATATGGAAAAAAGAAATTAAAAATAAATTGCTTACTTTCACTTATACCAATAATTTGATTAATATTTATGAATAGCTCAAAACTAAATTGCACAATATAAAACGTAGATATATTTATAGTAAAAAAAAATTGAAATTAAATTCTAATTTCTTTAGGCTGTCACAATGTGCGTGCTATTTGTGAGTCCACTTACACGCAAATACCAGAGCTCACATAAGTATTATGCCTCACGGCTTGTTGGGTATGAGTGAATATGTCAAATTAAGAATAACAGTTATATTTGTGATGTGTGCACATATTATATGTGACGTGAGTGTCACTTCACTTTATTTTTCTACTAAAAGGAATGATACACACTTCACTTTTAGCAACGTATACACCGATAATTGCCGGACAAGCGACTAGAGTTGTAGACTGAAAGACCTAAAAGGTTTTGCAAAGCCAATTGTGCTACATCACATAACATAAACATACATAAATTTGTGTGTAGGTGTTAAACGGCACGCACATATACACAAGCGTGACAAGTGAGGAATAGCCAATGACACGCACACACAAGCGCGTAAGCAAACCATCGCCAACGCTACTGTTACTCATACGCACCGACGCACAGCTATCAGAATGATTCGTTTGCTTTTTTTTATATACAATATAATATATATTTCGTTTTTGCAGGACAGCACAGCTCAATGAGCATGCGTTCTGTCATTACCTTACGCACTCATCATTCATTCAAAACCTTTTGTTTCAATGTGTTTGTGGCGAACATGTGTTCTATGCGTGCCTTTGTTTCGTTTCTATATGGCTATATCTTTTACGACTCCTTTGTAGTTTATTAACTGCACTCATATTCCATATTTTTGAGTCTATGTAATTTACGGTCTAGTGACGGTGTTTACAATTTAATTCAGCTGCTGGCCAAGCCTTTGCTTGGCAGCGTAACTCTCTAGCGGTTAGTAGTGTGCTTGACCGTTAGAAGTGCATGCAACTGTGCTGTTGTCGCTACAATATAAATTTATTACAGTTTGTTTTAATAGAAAAACGATGCCTAGGCAACTCTCAGTGGTTGTCAAGTGTTTGCGTTGCGGTAGGGTTGTACTTGTGATTTAACCGCCGTTCTCAGAGCAGAAGGTTTTTTTTTTTTGTTAACTTTTATGTTTGTTGTGATTATTTTTTATGTTGACAAATATTTTGGTTTTATAAAATGTGTTGCTACCACTATTATTATAAGAACCCAATAACACTTGATTTTAATGATTTTTCATTGGTATTTATGGTATATAAATTCTGCTAAATTTCAAAATGATAATCAGAAGGCAAGTGTATATATGGAGAGTATTAAGAAGAGTCAACCCGAAAGCGAAATTTTTGCCAAGAATTTGGTCTTCAAAAAGTAAAAAATACTGTTAAGTAAAATATGTGCCAAACAAATTTTAGGTAAGAATCGCAAATATTTCTTATGTTTAAGTTTATTGACTACAAGTATTTGTTTGTACAATTATCTCGATAGAAAAATATAATTATTAAAGAGAAATGGAGGAAACTCTAAAATATCAGAAAACAGCTGTGACATGATGAGAAATAGTTTCAAATGACTTCGGATAATATAATATTTTTGTTTTTGAAATCGTTGGAAGGTTATAGGAAAACTGTCAGAAGATGTAATGTAAAGCAATGAAAAATATTATCTTAAAATCTACTCGCAATTTGGTAAGAAATACAAACATAATACTTCATAATTAAAAGAAAAAGCTCAGACAAAGTCATACATATATAATATCTTAGAATTTATCAAATTCTAAAGTATACTATATTATGATGTACAATATAATAAAGCTGATGCAAAGAATAAATTAGAGATATTTTTAATTTGTTTATTGAGATTTTACAGAGAAAATTTAATCTTTACTAACATAAAGGCAAATTTGGACTGTTTTCACGTATTTTTATAGCAAATAATTTAATATTTACTATCTCTTTTAAGATAATAACACGAGTTAAAAACTTTTAACTCAAAACTAAATATTTGCAGTTGTATCCTTTGCATATATATAAAATCTAAATAACCTAAATACTTGTAAATCAGAAAACTATTGCTACTATAACTGTCCGTATAACAGTAGCAGTATAGTTCCGAATTTAATTTTTATTTCACTTTGCGCGTAAATGCAGGCAACAACTTAAATATTAACGATTGTTTAATATTTCAATAATGTTGTTATAAACACATCAGTGAAGTACAGTGATCGGAAATTGAGAAAAAGTGGAAACATTTTTTTTTTTGTATATACATATTGAATAATTTTTGTGCCGAAAATATTATTTATAATTAAAAAACTCGTAAATTGATTATATATGAAAAACATTTCTATTTGAGTCTAAAATTTCGTGAGCAATAATAATTTAAAGGGCTCTGCAATTTATTGATTAATCAGTAAAAAGACATTGATAAAAATTAATTATTAACTACTGGTTGGTTGAAAAAGAGGCTCAGGAGACGAACTTAGGCCGTTATGCCGGTAGCTATCATATAGGACACTCAATTTGATCAAGAAGCACACTTAGTGCGCCAGTCCAAAAAATGGCGATATTTGGGAATAAAAAAAACAAAACTACTGTTTCAATTGTCTCTCAAATCAAATCTGTACTAGAAGATATTGTTAATACAATGTCCTATGGTAAGAAGAAAATACATAATGGCGGCATTTAAAAAAATTGTAATTTTACCCAAAATTTGGGTCGCCTTTGACCTGCGAAAATTCGCTTTTTTATACAAAACATGCAACAAATATCGATAGTGATTATTATTTGTGCTCGAATTACTCAAGCGAATTAGAAAAAATATAGTTTTGAGAAAAACGGGTTTAAAGATAAACATATGAAGTTGATTGAACTGCGTAGTTACACTTAAGAACGCTGTGACTCAAAAACTATTTGATATATCGATTTCAAATACTAGTACGTTATTTTAAATTATCAACCTATCAGAAAAGAATTGAGTATAAAAATTTCACATTGGTTGTGCCCTTTGAACCACATTCTCGAAAAATCATACAGTTCTATTTATAGGAAAAGTTATATCATATACATATGTATATATATGTATGAACAGCTAGTCCTTTGTCTAAAATGCCATGTTTAACGTGAAATGGTTTATACATTTTTTGAAACCAAAGTTCTTGCAACTAAAACTATAAATAGTACATATAAAATTCAATTGAATAAAAGTAAAACAAAAAAAAAAAAAAAATGAAAACAGCGGATATTTATATCATATAACTTCTGGAAAATTTCCATAACAACTTATGCTCAAAAACTATTTGTTCCTATTAATTAACGGTAACAAATATAGATATTGCTGGCATTGTTCTGTTGAAAAATTAATCTATCTAAATCAAGCAACAAACAACCTCGACTGCATTTTTAAATACTAATTAACTACGTGATGACGGTTATTCACAGAAAAGCAGCAAATAAAAAGCAAAAATGCTGACGAATTGACTGACTCGTAGGACTTCAGTTCAATGCACCACGTTTCGCAATCAAATGCAGTTGTAAAAAATGATTGATAATAATGTCTGTAATAAAAATAAGACTTTATTTACAGCATACATATATTTTCAGCACAAAAAATAACCAAAACTGAAAAAACAATTCTTAAATAAAAAAGGAGACAATGCGAATTAAAGCTACGCACTCGACGTTGTGTTTTAAGAGCATGTACATGCAATTGTAGCAAATTATTTGCCCCTAGAGTTCATAACACAGCGTGTTGCAATCTCACTTGTCAATATCAGCCGACGCAACAACAGTCTTTCACCAGCAGCCAACTTTCTTTTTTATATATTATAGGCGTCTTACAAATATTGTATCCTTTGAGCAAAAGCATACTTAGCTGAATGCTACAATTTTATTTGACATGACACGTCAAAATATATTTCAAATTTTCTTGGAAGTTTTCGGCCAAAACTCAGATATTGCAAATTCACTCTTTTTAAGCACTCAAATTGTACATTTACTTAAGTTCATATATACTCTACACCTCTAACACCTCTTTTATAAATCACCTTTTTTTGCCAATACAATTCAGATTTTGAGCCGTTAGACTTTTAATTCATTTACGATTATTTGTTGCCGTTTTTTAACGTACACTTCCGTTTCCACAGTTAACGTTTGTTTTACTGTTACGTTTTCGTTCACACGCTTGTTGCCGTTCAACGGTTGGTTGCTGCTTTGGCGCCACTTGTTGAGCGAATGTGTTGCGGCTTCGTTATTTATGCGCCTTTTATAAAGTGACTGCCGAACGCACGCCAAAAGAACTATAGCGCAAAAGCATATGTGTTCACCTTCAATGGACTCTGGCTGCGATAGGCAGTGTTCGCATGCGGAGTCCTCCACAACAACCACACACATTGAAATGACTCGTCGGTGGCATCGGCGTCGTCATCATCATCGTCGTGGTCGTAGTCGTATTTGTCGTTTTCGTCCTCATCGTTAGTGCGCCACCAGCAGCCGATTTCAGCAAGTAGCATACGCAGCGTGAGCACACACGCACACACATACATAAGCGGCATATGTACACAAGTGGTAGCGCGAGCCGACGCATAGGCGATAAGAAGCATAGTGTCCATCAGTGTTGCTGATAAGGCGTATGGAAGAATTGTGATTTTTTTTTTGGGTCGGCAACAAAATGTTCATTCGTTCACTGTTTTGATTCATTTTGCGCGTTGTCAAAAAAGCTCAGTGGGAAAAGCTTTTCGCAAAACGGTTTATTATAGTCGTTTATATATATTCATATATGTATGTACGTGTGATGTGCCGTTAAATGGTGTTTATATGATTGAAACTTATTTTGAAAATTTCAGGCTGACTAGTAAGTAAGACTTTCTTGTCTGCAGAATTGTTGTTATGATGTTTTAATAGAATATACGTAAATAAATTCCTTACACTTCCAATTTAGGCGTATTCTTTGAATATATTAAGAAATTGCGCGTACTCGTTTGAATGAGGTTATGTCAACGTCTAATTAAAGTCTATTTCATATTTCGGAAGCTAATCTGTTCTCGTAGTAAATAACTAAAGCATTAAGAATGATATCGCAACAAAACTTAATATTTGTGGTAACCCTGATATGTGAAAACTTTTAACAAATAGGCGAAATTGCTAAAGATTCGTCATTTCAGTAGCCACAGCATTTTTTTCTACCATGTTAACCTTAACCCATATTACCAATATCAAATCTGCTTATTTTGACATTTGACACAATTAAATATAACGTATTAACAAGCTCATTGTTCATTACACTTGCTTGTCAGGTTGGTGGTGGCGTATGAGCAACCCACATAAAGTGACGATTTCCACACAGAAATTTTATATATCTACTACAAACACACATATATTAAAAAGAAATTTCTGCTAAGCTGTCACATTTAACATTTAACGTTATATAAAACTACAGTGATGAATGCTTGACCCAAGCTATACATTAGGACACCTAATTTTTGGGCGATATTTATTCTTTTCTACTTGAAAATCTAATACTAGCGTCTTAGCTCAATCAAAAATTCAATGTCGCAATAGATAGCACAGTGGTTTTTTTTCGGTTTCAACGTAAACTTTTTTGTTTTGTGAAAGACGCTTGTACGGTGGTAAGGTATACATTTTTCTACAGATTTTCAGGTAGAACAGAGAAAAAAAAGCAAGAAAAAATGTTAACTTCGGCTGTACCGAAGATATAATACACAAATACAAAAGATTTCTTACCAGAACTTTTATTGGTCAGTTTGTATGCCAGCTATATGCTATAGTGACACGAGCTGAACAGTTTCTTCGGAGATTGCACCATTACCAATAACTCATGCCAAATTTGATGAAGATATCTTGTCAAATGAAAAAGTTTTCCATACAATCACTTGATTTCGATAGTTCAGTTTGTATGGCAGCTGTATGCTATTGTGGTCTGATATCGGCCGTTCCGATAAATGAATAGCATTTTGGTGAGAAAAGAACGGGTGCAAAATGTAGATCGACTAATGGTCTCTGACGTTTCCTTTTGGGTGTTACAAACATCGTGGCAAACTTAATATACCCTGTTCAGAATATATAAATATCACTTAAAAATGTTGAATTCTACCACACACATATGTTATGTTAGCACTATACATATAGCTGTCATGAAGCTCATTCAGGCATATCTAATTAAATTATCTGATGGCAATTGGCAATTAACTGTTGTTCTTTCATTAAAGTATGCAGTTGACATGAATGGGTAAACTTGCGCACAGGTAACAGAACATCCACTGAAGTCATAAAACTTTATAGTACTCAATTTGTGTCGCAACATCCACAGCTTAGATAGGCACAATAATTCTTAAAGATACAAAAATTTTGTATGGTAAAGTTAAGTGTTACACTGTTATTTAGTTACTAAACGAAGTATCTTGCAGTCCGAGCAAATTTTTTTAATCTTGAATCATTTCTCCTAGTATTTGCATAGTAAGTAATTGAGATAGATATATTCTTATATATAAAAAAATAGTTAGGTTGGTGAAGCAAATCGATTCCACGACTTTTGTCAGACTTTCCTAAAAAACTTAAGCTGTCTTATACAATCAAGAAGATTGCAAACTAAATGTGTGCGGTAATAACCATTTTAACAGAAAGAAGTAGATTCCTCCTTATTTAATTTTGATTATTCAATTATTCATCTCTCCTTTTAAACAACTTTTTTATAACAATAAATTGATTATACTAATATGTGTAAGCAGCATATATGCAAATTAATATAATATATAAGGTGTGTGTCTTAGATAAGCAAAATTAATTGTGCCTAAATGGAGGCCAACTTTTACGTATTATATAGACTTTTACTAACTATGTATTAAGAATAACTATAAATATAACTAATTAATTTAAAAAAATATTTCTTATATTTCTCAAAACTAAAAGGAAGCTAAATATATGCACCTAGGAAGAAAAAAGTAATGCTTGTCATCAGTGAGATGTAAATGTGTAAAAATATGTAAAAATAAATGTAATATATAATATATTCTTTATGTATGTAAATAATATGTGCTCTATATAACTACACTTTCCTTACTTACTACGAATTTGGCATTTTGCCTTCCGGGGCAGTGAACTGTCAGTGCACGTGGTTATGATATGTATATACCTATGTGTATGTGTTTAAATGCTTATATTTCCATGAATGTGTCTTTATTTCTACTCACGAAATAGACAAATTGAATTTTTCCATCACTATCGTCTGTCACAACTTCCAAAAAACAAAAAAAACTTTACGCGTAGGGAGTATCAAGTGCTATTATCACACATACATACGCTTGCGTGTATAAGAATAGTTCCGTTGTTTAGCTTTAATGCAAAAAGTAGGACACCAGCCTTGCAGCAGTAAAATTTTGGCGGATACAAATAATTTCGTTAAAGCCTCCGTCACAGGCGGAATAATAATAAAAGATGGATTAGTAATACTTCAGATATTTTTTCGCTAACAGCTTTTTCTCTTCCGAAATCTGATTTTTTGGCGTATATGTATTATATTTTTGTATGTGTGCACGTAAGCATGCTGGTGGGCATATATCTAAATCCCACTTCCTCACCAAAATTGTTGTTGGAATTTCCAAAATAAGTGTTGCAGAAATATTTTCACCCTAAAAGTGTCACTTTAGAAATGTCAACATTTTCGCTGCGGCCAAGTGTTGCGCATTTTATTGCCCCTACACGAAGCGATTGGGAATTGAATCACGAATATTTGGCTTTTGCCCGTAGGTGTCTTCTAAGTTGGCACTGCTTCTAAATACACTTCACTTTTTGGGCCCAAAAATAGTTATACCACATTCGTGCCTCATGTTTGCTTTACCGCGTGTGGAAATAAAATACACTGTTATGTGTGGCATACTTTTGGATCGTTAATAATATGCAAAGTTTTCGAAATATGCATTTGACAGGTTGGCAACAGGTTTGAATTTTTTCTGGCATAAATATTTTAGTGCAATATTTATGTATGTTAATGTTGTACGAAGTGTTTTACCCTGATGAGGGTATATTAAATTTGTCACGAAGTTTGTAACAATAAGAAGGAAACGCCGAAGACTTTAAAACGTAAATATGTATGTAAATGCTCAGTGTGACGAGCTCAGTCGATTTATCCGTTCTGTCTGTCTGTATATAGGCGAACTAGTCCCTAATTTTTTGAAATTTTGATCTGAAGTTTGACATACGTCCAGTGCTACCCAAGAAGCTGCTCATTTGTCGGAATCACTAACAGATATTGCTGCCATACAAACTGACGGATCAAAACTAAGTTCTTCTAAGGAGAACTTTTTTATTTGACAAAATATCTGTACGGAATTCGGCACTTCTTATTTTCCAAGGTAACGCCACAATATTCGCACAAATTGTTCGGGTCAGACCAGTATAGCATATAGCTGCTGTATAAACTGAGCGATCATAGTAGAAAAAAAGCCTTTTTTTCCCCTATTATGCTATAAGGAATGCAGCTCTGCAGGGCATTATAGCTTCGGAGCAATCGATATTAGTTGTTTTATATCTATAGTTTTTTTTTATATCATAAAAGATGGTTTACATTCCTAAGATATTAAAAACTCATATGCCAATTTTATCTCTGGCGCATACATCGACGTGGAATGTAAAAAGAAAAAATCATACCCCGTTATGAATAGCTCCGCCCTTCGTGCCAGTCTGCACGAGTGATTGCGTCAGAGCTTATTTAAATTGACACTTCCGCCCGCAAGCAAACAAATCACAACTAATTGCAACAAGCGATAGCCGTGGCCAATGCCAATCCATTGATAATTACAATAACGCAAACATATCGGCATGACTTTGTGATAATTATTGGCTGAATACGCATATATGTATATACTCTTTAGGTATATACGAGTAATCGCTATGCCACTTATCGCACTTGTGTTGTTTCGTATACGCCACCGGTGATTAAAATTCCCAATTGTCACAGCGTTGTCGGTGACGAAATGCGATGCCTATTCTATAGTTATACTAACGTACCCTAAGGCAATACACACGTGGCGACAGACATATCCGTTGGCGCATGTTCATTTATGGCCAAGCCAAAGGCACGTACTGTGTTATACATATCTACCCTATTTGCATGCGTGGATTAATGCATGTGCCACTGCATATTTTTAGGCGTTTATGCGCGCTATTATTGCGGACTAGTTAGTACATAGCTGTTATATTTTTTCGTGTCTCATATTGACACAATGATTAAAATGTTTATCAAATGTCAATTAAGCGCAACACTTACTCTACGCACATCATATTGCTTATCATTGTTCGCTCGATTTTCCACTGAACTCGCATTTTAGCTGAAAAACAAAGGCAAACACACTTAGTGATATTTCGCAAATTTAGCTCAAAACAATTTTATTCGATTTAAGTGTTTCATATTTGTATGTATGTGTCATTATAAGCTTTAATTGGTTATAAGTTGAGTTAATCAGTTTTACATTTGGTTATTATATAATCTCACGCTTATAACTAAGTGCACAACATACAGAATCTTTGCTTAAAGAGTTTAGTTTTCGAAAACTCGGTCACATATTCTCTCTCAGCTAACCATAAAAAATGCTGGTAAGTAATTTAGTTTGTTATTATCAAAGGCAGCCACCTACATCTGCAATACTACATACGTACTCTTCCCTGCTGCTAACCAGCCCGCTTATAATTATTCCCAAATACAACAAATTTAGTGAGTGTGCGTGTATTCGCGAAGTATTTGCGCATTTTCATATTCATCTATTAGAAATTGTTATCTAAGGGCTCCTCCTCCTCCTCTTCCTCGTAAATCGGTTGCTCTTCCTCTTCCACCATTTCTTCCTCCACAACTTCTTCCTCAACACGTTCGCCAATTATTATCTCCTCGGCCAGTTGATATAGTTCACGCATATCCTGTTGATTAAGTAAAAGTAAATGCATACATTTTTTCTTGTTGCTGTATTAATAGTTTTTGCTCACCGATGCTTTCTGTAGCATAAGTATCTTATCATCGTGATAGCGTAACTGCTCAAATTGCGCTTTGGAAATGAGATAACCACGCTCCACATCATACTCCATTTCTTCCTCTAACTCGGCTGCATGGCGTCGTTTCGATTGGCTTATAGTGCTGCCCTGTTCGTAGATCTCCGATTCAGTGGAAACATCAGAGGCGTCATCCAAATATTTCCGCCGTTGTCGCTCTTCCTTCTCACGCTCAGACATTTCTTTGGCCGCCTCTTTACTTATAGCCGGTTCGAAGATGCCTTCGGTTTCGGCTTGTATGATATCCTGTACATGCTTCTGTATGACAGCCTACAGGCAAAAGCGGAAATATATAATATAGTACCCTGTAATCTAAACTGCTTATAACCTGGCTGTAATATTATACTCACCGTCTTTTCCGCCAACTCCTTGGTGAGTTTAATATCTTTAGCAACAGGTTTTGGTTTGGCGCCCTCCTCTAATTCTTTGCATATACGTTGTTCGGCTTCGCGGAATTTTTTCCTTGAAATAAATAGTTTAATGAGATATTTTTACATCTCGTTAAGGCTACTAAACAATGAAATGATCTACTTGTGAATTGAGTAATAAAAGAAAGCTAAGGAAGCATTGAGTTTGTCTGATTTTAAGACTCATCATAAAAAATAATATGTAACATAATAACGTGTACTTGAAATATTGTTAGAAATATAAGATGCAGTGGGTTGGTTGTAATTTATAGTTGCCTTCGAGCAATATGAAAACAACAACAAAGTCATTTAAGTGATTTCAATACAAAAAAATATATGATGTCTCATTGGAAAATTTCTATTTTTATTATATTCCACGTTTTTACGAAGTTCGTTAAACTCATGCCAGTTGTGTGTTCGATTCACTACTTTCTAAAGTTTGTTAAATCGAAGGTTGCTGGCACTTGTTCGGCAAGAAATACTATTGAACTACATATTTTTGTACAATGGAGAGGCGATACTGAAGTTTTTTTCGTCAAAACCAATCGGGTGGTATAATAATATAAGCATGTATTATAAGAACTAACACATGTTCAATACGTATATCGGAGGAAAAGAGTGCAGGAACGAATTCTTAAATTTACTTTCTGATTTTTTTGATTATAATTTTATTATTGTGATCTATTTGGCACCCAAATATTGTTAAAAACTATTTTGATATACAGAGACTCACTCCAAAACAGTATTTTAATTTACTTTGTCCTGAATAATTGTTAAAAGTAAGGAATAAGGATAAAAACTAAAGAACTTTAAAGAAAACTTTATTGCGACTCTTGGGATTGTTCATAATCAGTACGACAAATTCACTTACCTGGCACGCACAATATTCAATATATCCAATTTATCCGATGTGAACGGTGTCGGCAAACGCAACGAACGCTCCTTCATTTTGGCACGCTCTTCCTCCAGAAAGCGCTTGAGGTCCTGTTCACACTCGCGCCACTCTTCGTTGTCGATGCTGCAGAAATAAAAAAGTATTTAAAAACATTATGAATAATTGAATAGTTCAATGAACCAACTGCTAAAGTAGGTGAAACATATTTACAGCTAAATGAAATTATATGCACGTGTTATGAAAGTATATAAAATAGCTAAGACGTCTAGTTTTTCATAGCCTAAGCTTAAAATGTGCAAAGATATAACTAGAATTATCGCCAACAGTAAGCAGGCTTTACGTTTACCCATTTAATCCCAGCAGCCAGCGTTAGAGACGCGCTAACACATGTATATTGGCAGCATTCCTTGTGAATGAGAATACTAGATATATATATGTATATGTGGTCCTGTGTATTTTTGGTTCTTAAAGTATTGCATAAAATAAAAAGTAGGAGTGAATGCACGTTAAACCCAAAATTAGTGCTAGCAAATTAATTCAAAAAAGTTAAGTGTGAAAATCTGAGAATCCGAGCTGAATATGACACGAAAAAGTGTAGCCTGCTTCTGGGCGTTGTAGCAAATTATGGCCTACATATACACATGCATATTTATAAGCCTGTTCTATTTGTTGTTCTTCATAATTTTGCTTTAAAATGATTTTAATGTTAACGACATAACAACTTGCCGGGTTAACGTTTAGCAAATAAAGTCTATGATGAGCATAGAATTGTGCTACACCAAGGCACGTAATTTATAATCAGAAGAAGAGTATATAATAAATTAGGTTTTTTTCATATCGTATCATTTAACCGCTTACCATTTTAGCCTGCAAAGAAGAAAATTTTCAATTAACGCTTACAAGTTGACCTACCGCAATAAATCCATGCCTCGTTCAGCATCTTCGGACTTGTACTGTTCTTCAAGCTCATTTTGCTGCTTGCTGCGCCCCTTTATCTTTTCAACGCGCATTTGTTCTTCCTCCACATACTTCTGTCTTTCGCGTTCCCATTTCGAGCCTTGCGCTTTTAAACGTTCCGCATTACGCTCACGATTGGTTTTGAGCTTAAAGTACATATGTGGGAGTTTTATTTTTATTTTTTATTGACATAAGAAATTTGAAATATGTGTTATTTGTTTGATGTTATTTGTAATTCACCTTAGCACGCTCCTTTTGGATTTCTTTATTCGCAATTTTATTGACAACAAATATTGGATCATCGGCCAGTTCGGCGGGTATTTCGTTAGTTTTACCTTCGATGATTAAGAGACGCTCACGTTCCACCTCGCGAAGCTAGATATCATGAGAAATTAAAGAAATTGCGTTTAATGTACAATATTTGTTGGCATAAATTTAAAAAATATTGATACAATAGAGTGAGATATAAGTTTTAATGTCATATTTTATCGATCTATATGCGTTTCAGTCTTTATCTTAATTTATTAATGTACTTTATTCGAGTCATTAAATTAATTAATTAAGGTGCTATCTGAATGTCTGTTTTTGGGTCAATATACTGTGTTTATTTAGCTAAGCAAGTTACATATTTTATGGAAGTCGGTCTTCAGCTGATATATGAACATGTTGAACCTTGCTTGGAAAATATGATAAGTATATATATATACCTATATAAGTTTACATAATCCTTCTCGAAAGCTAGACAATTTTTACACCTATATATAGGTATGACCGCAAATAACATATGCATATAACCACGAGCGAAACACAATATGACAGGTATTTTGTTGCATGACATCATTTCATATAACTGTCAAGCTGTCAGTTAACCAGAGCCGCAAATAATATTTATTAGATAATATATGTATAACCTAACATTGTGGTAATAACCATTTAGTGATTTGACAGCATTTATCTGCCAATAAAACCGCTACAAAATTGTAGGAAATATGTGGCTCAAGTGGTGAGTCATTTTAATTGGGTGTAATATACTTGAACTTTCTGAACTTTATAAATTTTATAAAATTATTTTCCGAATTTAAATTTTTTACTGATTTAGAAAAGATGTTTTAATTTTTAAGTGAAGTGAATAGTGATAGACACTTTTTTAATAGAATGGGGACGTTCCAAAATATTTCCTTTATACGTAATGGTGACTCAGATACGACTTATTATTTACGAATATAACCTATACTTTCATATGAAAAGCACATTTTGGAAGAACCAATTGCAGCTACACAACATTTTGTAAACTTAAAAACAATTTCGAAACTTTCTAAAACTTTTTCACTTTCAACTTTAGAATCGTACTTTGATTTGCTTCAACTATAAGGAAATTCTCTTTTTACATGTCATGTCAAAACTACATTTAAATCAATTGAGTTAAAATCCGGAGCGCCTAATCTGTTGGCTGAAGTTGCTTTAATGGGCTCTAGCCCGAAATGTGTCGCAGAAACAAATAAAATGCACACGCTGCTTGGCTACAAAAGTTCGTAGAAAATATGTTTAGCATTAAGTTTTGAAATTGCTAACATTTACAATACGAACTCATAATTGCTTTCGGGTGAAAAAGGACAATCTGAGTAAAAGGCTGCCATTTGTAAGATTTGTTGGACCATATTACGCTAATTTATCCGTCCATGTTATATTAGGCTGTTATGCGACAAAAATTTAATTAACCGCAAAATTTTATTTCATGCTTAATCGCTTGTGATTAACCTACATACATACATACATACATATATTCAACAACTCACCGCCCTTGCGTTTATGCGACGTTCCAGCTGTATGCGGCTTTCCTCTTCCAGTCGCTGGCGCAGCTCACTCATAAATTTGTGATCGGTTAGACGCACCACATTTGTGCCAATTAAACGCTCCAGGGCAGCACTTATACGTGGTAAATTGAAACTGTAAAGAAAGGAGTTATGATTTATAGCAGAAAGGAATTAAAAATTATAGCGAAAGAGCGCTCAATATGTTATATAGCTAAAGAGAGTTAAGAATTGTAACAAAGTATTTGATTATATAGTAAAAACGTTTAGTTAAATTTTTATATAACAAGCTGTTTAAAAATTGTATTTTTTTACTTTGCACTTACTCGCTGCTTTCTTCCTTCGCAGCAGCTACTTCGTATGACTTTTTCATAATATGTTCGGCAGCACTACACTGCTGCGTTCACATTGCAACTGTTTATGTGTCGCCGTTTTTGCGAATTTCTAATAGCTGTTGTCATGTTATGGAAACACCGAACAAATAAATAAATAAATAAAAAAGGAAAAAACGTTAACTTCGGTGGCATCGTGGCTATAATACCCTTCACAACTACAACAGATTCCATACAATAACATGATTTTGATCGGTCAGTTTGTATGGCAGTTATATATTCTTCGGAGATTGTATAGCTGTTTACGACAATTATCCATGTCAAGTTTCGTGAAGATATCACGTTAAATAAAAAAGTTTCCCATACAAGCATTTAATTGCGATCGTTCAGTTTGTATGGCAGCTATATAGTTATAGTTGATTTGCTATCGGTAGTTCCGACAAATGAACAACTTCTTTGGGACAAAAGTACGTGTATAAAATTTCAGAGCGATATCTCATAATATATATATATGATATAACGTACAGACATGGCTAATCGGCTCAGCGCGGCATGCTGATCATTTACTTGTATATACATATTTTTAGAGTCTCCGGCGCTTCTTTCTGGGTGGTAAAAACTTCGTAGCAAACTTAATGTAACATGTTTAGGGTATAAAGATTCGAAAAAATAAAATGCCTTGGCAGAATTCGGCGGTCGCTGGCTTTGGGTTACCCCCAAAAACTTTGTTTATGTGATGTGAATTTTCCGCGAATGTGCAAACTGACGCACACATCAATGGTGGTATATACAAACGTATTGACAAGGTTTTTTAAGTCCGTATGTGTGTACATTCTCAAAATAAATAACCCGGAAGTATTTTCGTTACTAGAATTTGGTAAGATTGCAGATAAGAAATGTAGACGCCTAGGTCTAATTTTGAATTGAATAAAAATCGGAGAAATTACGTGAAATAAACAAGTACATCTTTATACCAAAATATTAGAAAAAAATTTAAATATAAATCTTAATTAAATGTAATTCAATAAAAATATTTCTATTTTATTTTATAACAATTTTAAACATTGCCATTGTATATATTATAATAAAAGATTTTATATTCGATATTTGGAAACTGAATTTAAAAAGTAAACATTTTTAGCAATGCTAAAAATATGTATTACTAAAGCTGAGAACGTAGTGACTTAAATGACTGCTACGAGTTTTTTGTAAAGTGACTTTCTATCATAAAAAATTGCGAGAATATTTACATACGTACTTATATACAATAGATGTAGACAGATTAAATAAAAGAAAAGAAAGAAAAATGTGCTGTAATTTTTGGAATCTTTATGCATAAGCCGTTGGAAAATATTTTCTTAAAATCCAACCCATTTAATGAAGTACATTTGTTTGTAAAATTTATATGCGACTTACCAAACTTTGTTTTAAGCTCAATTCGGCTTGAGTTAAGTGTTAAGAAGCTTCATACTAAATATCAAAACTTCCCACACTGAGTGTTTATATGGTTCATTTAGGTTTAATTCCCGCACATTTGCCGCCTACTGGTTTCTTGAGCATTAGCCTGCTGTTACTTTTGCAATCCTTTATTTGCGCCATTAATATTAGGATTTAAGCGCCACAAAGTGACAACACAACTTAACAACGAATGACTAAAAGTCATGCCACAAACGGTAGATACCACAAATGTTTTGCCACAGCGAAAATCGCGTGGTACTTTTGACATTTGTCCTCATACTGGTTCATTTGTGTTTTCGCTTAAGTTTGTTTTATGCTTTTTGTTGAAAATCGTAAAATTCTAGTTTTGATATTGTGGAAATGAGGGCACTTTCGCTTTTATTACAATACTTAAAAACATAAGTTGAAGAGTAGATAGAGTTTCTCACGTTAGTAGTTATATACGGATCGCCATTTCATTTTTGATTTTGATAACGTTTGTTAACGTTGCGTTTAGAGTAAGCAAGAAACATTTAGATCAAACAATATTTTAGCAAGAGTTGCCAGCTTCTTAAACAACAAATGTTTGCTAATATACACATACCTGTAGTATCTATTTAACATAAAATATTGCGGTATAGGCACTTTCCCGAAATTGTCTAAGACAGTTTTAGATAGGTTGGAATCATTTAGTGGTTTTTTTTTGCCTTTTCAGCGGAAACACCATAGCAATTAAATTTTTTTTTACACCATCATAAAATTGATATGTTATTGCAACAAAGAAAACAAAAATATATTGTCGTGAGAAATTTAGATTAAAATTTAGCGTTCTTTTCCGATATTAAGTCAAAAAAAAGGTAAAAAGATAGAAAATTACAGTGTGTTTGTGGAATTAAAAGGTTAGGTAAAAATTTTTGTAAAAGAATAATAAAATAATTTGAATTTTTCACATAAATTTTGAGGTTTGTGTTAATACAAGAGTTCTTGAGCTTTTTATTAGCTGCAACTCTGCCATTTATATTTTTTCCATAGGAGTTTTAGTTTTGCTGTAAATTGAGATAAATCGTTTTCAACACTTCTGTGGCACGGGAGGACTTTTTTCATATTTCCTTAGTTTATAGCTTTAAAAATAACATGCTACAATTTAAAATCGATATCTCAAATAGTTTTGAGTTACTTAAAGGGTAGCCGCTAATTTCAATTCAATCCGGTTTACCAGTTTATTTTTAATCGCGTTTTTCTCCAAACAACATTTTTCGAATTTGCTGCATTGATAACTAAAGACAAATTATCCGATCATCATGAATTTTTTTCTGCCTGTTCTGTATATAATTCTACATAGTACAATGACTTCATTGGTTTTTGATCTGATCAAAAATCTGAGTAAAAAAATTTGGGATAAAATTCAACTTTTTTTATTATTATATTCTCGAAACATGTATAAATATGTACCGTGAAAATTTCAATCGATACAACAGTTTTTTTTTAATTTCTCAAAAGTCGTTTTTTTAGGGTGTCACACTAAGTGTGCACTTTATAAAATCAACCAATCCCCTCTCCTTCCTGATCACCCGTAAATTATTTTCATCCCATTATGATTTTGTTTTCACTTTTTTAGCATTTTCATAGGTTTCAGCTCTGGCCTATTAGCCGGGGTTTCAAGTATTTAAACATGTAAATAGCATGTGAATTAGTATGCACGAATAAATATATAAGTATACCTATATACTAAATTATGATATGCCGGCAGAAAATAATTATAATACCAGCGGCACAGGTTGAGCTTAATTCATTCAAAGAATTTATAACATACATATGTACTTGTATGCAAAAAGGCGCATATATACAAGTACATATGTGTAAATAAATATATAAATGTCTGCATTCTACCTTGACACTGACTTTCGCTTACAGTCGTTATGTTGAAGAAATAGTACGATTGTGAATGTGTAAGTAGGGTTGTGACTTTATTTGCAATGTCAACAATTTAGCATTGAAAATGCATTACTAGTGTGTTTGTATCTGTGTGCGGGTGTCACATTGCCAAAACTTGTTTACTGTTATCGCTTCTAATGCACTTACTCACGTCATAGTATCAGCATTTCAATTGGTTTTGAGGCCTAGTGTGAGTTTGTAACTAAAGCCGATTAAATGAATTTCCAAAATTGGTTAAACAGTATAGGGTGGGCAAATAAACGAACTTTTTAACCCAAAACGATTTTTTATCGATTTTTTCGATAAAATTGTACAATTAAACGTTTGCCGAAATTAACTATGATTTCGAGCATTGCAAAATGTTAAAGTTGATTTATTATTGCTGCAAAAATTATTCAGCAGTAATTGCTTTTTTTTTTGATTATGGAATTTTTGGCAAAAGTATATTAAGTTATAACTATTTTTTTCCAAAGGCTAGTTCTTTGTTTTTTTTTAAATAGAAATTCACAATAATTATAGCAAAATATAGTTTTTAAGAAAAATATGAAGTCTTTATCAACACAATCTGAAGTATTTTTTTACGCTTTAACTTTATTTTACTTAAAATATTTTCTATGTTTTCACTTAAAGCTATCGAAGCATTTAATTTTGTGTCGTAATTCGGTCGTTTCATGTGTTTAAGAGCACGTCCACAGTATTTTATGACATGGAGTGGAGAAATCCGTACATTTGCCGAATACTATTAGTACTTGTAAGTATGTCGTTTAAAGTTTCTTTTATGTTCTTGTAAATAAGTACGCCTGTATGCCTACTAACTTTACTTTGTGCAATTGATTTATTGGTTGCCATATTTTATTAGCCATGTTTCTTGTTCGTGACCCACAACCGTAAAATTTGAAGGGTTCGAGTGCTTAATGATAGATACTAGCACATGTGTAAGTCTATGCTGTGACTATCGCAGCCGAAAGGGTTGATGGTAGTATGTTATTTTGGAAATAAATATACGAATTGACTTTGATGTCAGTAGTGGGTTTTACTATTGCCGGCTAAATTTAAAAATTGATTACAAAAAGCTTTGTAGGTATGTCTAAACTTCTTCAACGCCATTCGTAAACTTAAACAAAGGTTTTGAAAAAGTACTGGTCCGTATTAAATGTAAATACGATTCAATATATGATTCGATGATTTCACCTTGGAACTTCTAGCTTGACTGTTCAGCTTTTGGAAGACTAAGGTTAAAAAACAGAACCGGTCGTCTTAGCTGAGTTGTGAAGGACTCAAGTCAGGCCTCATCTTCATATTAAGACTCTAGTCTCGTTTTCATAATTAGAACTAAGTCTACTCGATCTTTAAAATTCTTCTAAATGACAATAAATCTAGTTATTATACGAATATAATCTTCTGATCCAGAAATCAGCCGCCAAATAAATTC